TATCTTTAATTTTTATTAATGTTATTTTTGATAAGCAGAGTTTTGTACTATCTTACATAACTTATGCATATTTATCATTATCTTACACTTTGTTAAGTTTGAATAGACATGTGTTTTGTAATGGAAACTTAAAAATAACATTTGTTGAGATCTCGAGCCCGCTGGCATTACGCACCCAAAATAAATTAATAAATACATGTAAATAAAAAAATAAATTAATTAATTAATAAGTTAATAAATAAATAAATAAATAGCAACCATAGCAACAACAACAACAACAACAACAGCAGCAGCAGCAGCAGCAGCAGCAGTATAGTAGTCATGCATCAAAATTTAATTCACCCAATATCTGCCAGCATAAGAAAACATGCTGTTTTTTTCTGGAGGATAACTCTGATTTGCTTTTTTGCATAATTATACCCCTTTTTCTACTTAGAAATTCTTGGTTAAGTTTTTGCGTGTAAGCTAGTATCTCCATAACAACAAAAGGGAATGGATTGAAACTTCATACACTTGTTCTCTGTGATTATCTAACAATATTGGCACAATTCCCATAACCCTGATTTGCTGTTTTGCATAATTATGCCCCTTTTTCCGACTTAGAAATTCTTGGTTAAGTTTTTGTGTGTAAGCTAGTATCTCCATAACTACTGTAGGGAATGAATTGAAACTTCATGCACTTGTTCTCTGTGATAATCTGACATGATTGGCACAAGTCCCATAACTCTGATTTGCTTTTTTGCATAATTTTGTCCCTTTTGCGACTTAAAAGTTCTTGGTTTAGGTTTTGCTTGTATGCTGGTATCTCCATAGCTACTGGAGGGTCTGTGCCTTTTTTGTGACAATTTTATGCATTAATAATCAAGCAGTGATTTACTCTTAGTAACAAGCCTTTGTACCTTTTCGGACAATTTTATGTACTCATATTGATATATGTAAGCATTATTATATTCAATGAAACACCCTTGTGACAACTTTTTCGGAAAGTCGATCGTCGCTGTCCTCCTACAGTTCTTGTTTTATTTAATTTTAATTGACTCTTACGTTTGTTATTATCAAAAAAATTTATATTCATCATGGTTAAATGAACAATACGAAATATACGTCTTATTGACTGGTATTTGTAAGGTCATCTTGTATAATGAATTCTGATGGTTGGACCAACAATATTCACTATTTATTATAACATATCATTACAATTAAAGCTCAAAAATAAGACAGCCCATGAAGCTCGTATAATCGTCCATTCTCAAAGCTGCGTCATGGGTCCATTCAGTCGTCTCAACCCAAACCTCATCGCCAATGCCAAGTTGAACTACAGCAGTCCCAGATCCTTGAACATAGTCTTTGTGAATACGAGAATTAGCCAACACTCCTTGAATGTTTCGACCATTTTTCATTATTTGTCCTTCAATTCCACTGTTTGGTTGTACGAGAAGTGATGAAGAAAATATGTAGACGCCAGCTTTAGGGGCAGTAAAAAGTCCATGGCGACTGTGATAACCACCTCCGATATTTGTTACAACCGAGTCAAACATAATAACTTGATGCTTTGCGATATGGAAGGTATCATGAGAAAGAAAAGCTTGAAAAGCAACGGGAGCTGTTGTTAGTGATCGAGGTACACTATGTTTTGCGTCTAGAACAGAACATAGCAATGTATATTGTTTTGTCTGTTTATAAACAAATTACAAAAAAAATATTTGCAGATAATGTTAAAATTTTCAAATACAAGTACATTACAATAAGTACCACATTTTAAAATGAGATTACATGCCATTTTATTTCATACATGGTACATGGCTTGCATATTCACTTATAAGTCTTAAAACTGGAATAACAAATAGCCGCAATTTTCACCAATTTCTTTTCTTTTCTTGAAGAGTTGTCATTGCCCTATGGATCTCCCAATTGTTCTGTAATTATTGTGATTTTTAAATTAAGATGTCTACAAAACATCGAAATTTTCATTTGTAATCATTGCACAATTATTAATAACAGTACAAATATTAACCTTCTTTATCCTTTCATCTACTATTTTTTCCAGAGACTGATTATCATGTTGTTCGCTATCGCGTTGAGGAATAAGATCACTTTTTTGTGACTTTATGATGTTTTCGAGACGTTCGATACGTTTGTCTTGGTCAAGGATGTACTCATTTTGTGACAGTATTTTATCCTCTAGGCTTATAAGCTTTTCTTTGTATTCTTTACCTGAAAACAAAAATACAAACTATGTAAATATTTTGAATGAAGTTTCAATGATGTTTTGATAAATAGTGACCTCATGTTTTTACATGGAATGAGAGAAATAAATGTTTTTTTTAATTAGACTTTTCACTCAATATATTATTAGAACACACGTGAAATTTAAGTAGAAACAGCATGTATTTAATCTGTTGTTTGTCATGATAAGAGCGGAATATAACGTTCAAAAGGAAAATGATTTTATTTGATTCTTACAATTGTAATAAATACTTAATCTTATAAATTGTATGAATTCAATGCAAGTGCATCCCAAAACGCTAAGTTACTGCCGTTTTATCTCGAGGTATCAATATATGTGTGACAAAATTTTGGATCTATCTTTATCAAATAACAAAATACATTCACAGACAACAATTTAGAAGATTTTCCTTTGACATGTTGTCTTGTATACTCATCCCGATTAAGGTTTTTGTTTTAACACCAAAAAAGCAATACGCGGCGTTATCTCATATTTTAAAATGGAATAATACTATACATGTATATAACGATATTTACATTCTTTTTGTAATCCCTGGAATATCTGTACAAGTTCCTCTTCTGTAGAGCCAGAAACTGCAATTGTTGTAACAAATGCATTAGCCAAAAACAAATAGATTGTACACGTCAACATATCCGCTAAGTTTTGTCAAGGCAAACTGGAAGAATTTAGACCCTGTGAAATATCACGACCTAACGAAACAATTTGAGATCATCTCTTATCAAGACTAATTTTGCACTACAATGCTAATTAGATAATTAGAATTAGATAATGGAATGTCGGTAATATTTAAATCTGTCATATCGTGTCTAGAATAAAATTTTACGACTCATCCACTTATCAAATTTTAATAAAATTTAAATATTCGACTAATGTTACATCCATAGCGAGACAAACGAATCCCTGTTTTTCTTATACATGTACTTTTTTGAAGTATTTTTAAGTGAAGATTAAGTGTTATATAAAAATTGTCTTATACAGCTTGAATTCTCTATTATACAGATGCTAAATTAAGATCGTGTGTATATGTATATTTTTCCTAAACAATGTAGCCATAGTCTTGTGGAGTGTTGGGTATTGGATCATTCAAGGAAAGCAAAAACATTCAAAATTTAGCAGGTGTCGAGCGAAATTTTCTAATTATTGATCGAAATAAATAATTCCATCCGACGAGTTGTACTAAGTTAAATATAATTAATTTTTTTTTATATAATTCGTCACGATATAAAAATGAAGTTCGGAATGATAAGAACAACAAAACCTAATGATTGTTAAAAGTCATGGTAAATATTTTTTTTTAGCGTTGTTTAATTATTTAGATATGTATTAAAAGAAATTAAATGGAATACAATACGTATTAAAATTCTCTTTTCATAAGAACTTGAGAGAATTTATTTAAACGCTGCCATGAGAAATTCATGATTATTCTTTAACAAATACTCGTATACTATCAGCATCTTTCGACGACTCATACTTTCAAGTTTTAAGTTGCACTTCAGAAAACCCTTTAATCACGTCACAAATTAATGACCAACATGGTGTTACCTGATACATGATTCATTAAAAGCTTCTGGTAGTCACTTATGTATTTGAAAAACCCTTTTGGGTTGGTGTTAGTCTTAATATAAAACAAATGAAATGCTCAGAAATCTTACAACAGAATGCCCGATTAAATGTAAAATAATTTATGTTACTAGTATGTAATTTGTGCTTTGTTCTTTATTATATATCAAAAGGCGGTGCAACATTTCTAAAATATATATGCCATGTATTCATTAAACATATACAGTCTGAATACGGCAGAAATATAACGCAATATTTCATTGCAAGAATCTGACAGAAGAAAACACTAGACATTTTAAACTCTTAGAAAATACATATTTCACGATCAGAAGTCATAGCCATGCCTAAAATACAAGGAAGACCCAATACCCCAAAACCAGTACTTATAAGGTGATTAACAAATGATGCTAGGTCAAGCGTGATGAGGAAACGGGCAGAAATGAAGGCAGCAGGATTTAGATAAGTTGGCCAATCAACAATTGATAACCGATTATCACTGAATCCGATGATTTCAAGTGCTTGATTTTTCAATGGCACAGTATATGGATCCGACAAGAGAGGGAACAAACATAAATTTGATTTATATGACAATTTTGAGGAGAATCTACAAAGGTGAATAACTTTCCAATGAATATGATAACCCAAAAACTAACATATAGATGAAGACATCAGAGTAAAGTTTTAAGTATATTTGAACTTATTACAAGATAGTTTAAAAATCTTATTGTGCTATTTCATGGTTTCTCTTGCAATTCAATAGTATTTTTTTTCACCTTAAAACTTATACTACTTTTTTGTTTTGAAATTCTAAAGTTACATGTTTGGAGTGTCTTTATATACATGTATATCTCCACTTTATACAAAAAAATCCTTTTTATTATCATTATTTTGAATATTTTTTCCTTTTATATGAGAAATATTATTGATGGTTTTTCTTTATGTGAAAATTATCATAGTTATTGATTACTATCTCTTAATACTAGAATTATCATGAAACTATTATGGTCATTAGTGATTACATCTTCACATTAGAATGATAATAGTAATGTTATTGATAATTTGAGCTTCATATAGGGATTAACATAGTTATGTATGATAAGGTTCGTCATTTTATAAATTATCATAATTACTTATGATTGTTTCTCTTCATATTAAATTTAGCATCCTAATTAATTATGTGTTTTTTTCTTCATATTAGAATTATAATGATTTTTGATAATACTTCTCTTACTATAGAGTAAAATTATCATCGTTGTTATATTTATTTTCTTCATATTAGAATTATCAACGTTTTTAGCATTTAATTTTCATATAAGAATTATTGTTGCCATTGATAATTTATTTATACTCATAAAAAATATATATATGTAAATCGATATTTTTTTCTTTAAAAAAATGTAGTATTTCTTATAATTCTCATCATTATATTAGAATATCATCCTTTGATATTTTTTCTCTTCACGTAAAAATTGTCATTGTTGAAATGATAATCTGATTGACAGATTACCGGATAAGACTATTATCATATCCTTGATATCTTTTTTTGTTATTATTATTATCTTAAACAGTAATTAATAAGTATTAAATTATAACAAGCAAGCTTTACTCCTATCTTTGTAAGTAAACAAATTTCAACACTTTGATTTTTTCGCTTGGAATGTTTGTGATAGAAATTCTATATACATGTACATTTCGTTCATTTTTTCTCTCCATTTATCATTTACTCTTGTGTTCTTTTTCTCAACTTGCCCACAATGCAAAATTATATTAATATTGTTGGTTGTTTTTTTTAAAGAATTTTAGAAAATTCCAATGAATCTAGAAAATTTCATTATAGTAATATATATGAAATAAGTATTTTATCCCTAGTTGTCGTGGCCTGAATGATACTAGAAACGCATTGATGTACAATGTATTTAACTTTTTAAAGGATCAAAACACCATATTTATTGCCTACAAGATACACAGTTTACAACAAAAAACAACAATAAATGCTCAGTGGAGTGGAGAATGTTTTTTTTTTTAGTTTTTTTTAAGTCTAAAACTAGAGGTGTAGCTATTTTGTTATATAAAAATTTGGAATTTGAGATGCATAAGAAATAAACGATGATAAGTATAACTTTATTGCATTAGATGTTACAATTGAAAAAAATAGGTTAACTCTTATAAATCTGTATGGCCCAAATAATGACAATCCAGATTTTTATGAAAAAGTTTTTGAAACAAAAGATGATCTAAATTATGGTACATTATATGTGGTAATTATAGCTTAGTTTTAAATCCAGAAATTGATTACTGTAATAATAAAAGAATAAAAAATAAAAAGCTAGGGAAAATGTACTAAAATATATACAATGTAACTGAACGTCTGCTTATTGATCCTATTAGAGATTTCTTTCCATGTGTTTAAAGATATCACCCTACACAGCAAGCGAGATCAAATTTTTGCTTGTTACTTACGACTTGGTCCCTAATATAAAATACTGTGAAATTCAATCAAGTTACAAATCAGATCATTCTCTATAACACTAACTAATTTTTTTCAGATATTTCTCATGGAAAAGGGTTATAGAAACATAGCAATGCGCTTTTAAATGATATTGATTACATAGCCTCCATTTACCAAAAAAAAAAAAAAATCAATGATATAAAACAACAATATTGTCTACCTGTTTATAATTTAGATAACATAAATGATGTCCCTAATGATGAAATACAATTTGTTATAAATGATCAATCGTTTCTGGAAACACTTTTAATGGAATTACGAGGACAGTCAATCATATGCAAGTTTTGTCAAGAAAAAAAAACTCAATACGAAAAATGGCAAAACCAATTCTGGGGAAAATTCCTATTTGATTTTTTATAATACTGCAATTGGTGATAAGTGTTTATACAAATCTTGATACCAAAAAGATGTTATATATATTAATGACATTTTCGATAAAGACAATATAATTTTAACTAAAGATAAATTTCAAAATCTGTTTGGTTTGAGAATAAATATACTACATTATATGGGAATCAAAATAGTATTAGAAATTTCTTTAAAAAATCAAATTTAATGTAAATCTTATAGATAAGCAACAACAACCCCTCCTACCTACTTATTTATCTGCCATTATTACGAATAAACAAGGTACTGGTGCCGTATACAAAATACTTAACCATAACACTGTGAATCAAAGCACTGAATGTACTGATGGGGAGGCTATGGCAAAATGTTTCAGACATATAGTTTCTTTTCTTTTTGCTTAAAATGTGCTGTACTTTCAATAATTATCAAAATATCAAAATAAGAAGATCTGTCCATTGCGCCATTTATCTTTACTGTTGTGTTCAACCATTCATATATATGGTAAATATGGTGGACTAATCATTTTGTTAATATTCCAAAACTTTTCATTAAGGTCTACATTCGGACTGTTAATCATACGAATTTTAAAGAATATTAAATGACATACCAGCAAGTATGACGACTGTTCATTATAAGATCACAATACAATTTTACAACTGACGGTTCCTTATCACAATACTCTAGGACTGTTCATCATGCTGGCATAAATACTTTATGTCATTTATTATTGAATGATATTAACAACTGCAAGTTATGCAACATTTTTATAGAACCTAAAAATTATACATATTTACATATACCATAATTGAGATCAATAAATATACTGTCTTGTGATGAGTATTTATATTCATACTCTACGGACTGAAAGTTTTGCGAGCGTTTTCCGCGTACAGCCTCCTAGTGTATACGAATAAGTTAGCTAGGCATGACGTAAGCGACAGTTTATCATTATTTGTCTTTTTAAAAATAATATTTTAAGGACTATTATTGGTTTATAACAACTAAAGAACATTCATGATAGTAAGACTACGGTGATGTTCTCTTACAATAATCAAAACGGCAAAGTTCTAGTTAATGACCCGTAATGCACAGTTGGTCGCTGCGTATTAATTGGTTTAAACATATTTATTTAAGCTCGATTGCGAAATAAGTTCTTGCAACTTATATTTATCACTTTCGAGTCCGCTTCCTGGAACCAACTAGTACTGGTGTCATATGAAGATACATGGTCGTAACCCGATTAGGGCTCGAACCCTTGATCCCTGGGTTGAGAGGCAGACACCTAGGCCACCGC